AGCGGGCTCTGCCTATGTAGAGGCAGAGCCCGCCCTCTCCCCTGTTCGTTCCTCCAATAAGTGCTGGAGGATTGGAGAGGGGATGTGGGGAATTCCTGCGGGAGTGATGACTGACTGACTGACAGTCGCCACTTTCTGCAAGGAGATGATTGGGAAGTGAATGGACCGGTGGTATGTGTTCGCTCATTTCCCGATCAATAGAGCCGACCTCTGACAGTTTCATTGTCACAGGTCGGCTCTAACTATGAGGATCAGTGGAAATCACTACCCTCATAGATTTCCTTTAATGGCCAGTGAACTCAGCACTATTGGGGGGTTATCACTGAATGAACCCTACCTAGTGATGTATGTTGATGGATTGATAACTCAATGGTCATGATGTGTTTTGGACGTCTGTCTGTAATATTTCATCACACGTTGGCAAAAGAAACATTTTCCACTTAAAACTGGGAACCATTTTGGATGTGGTCAGATGCATCATAGACAAGCACAGCTCTAAATCTAATCACTATAGAGGAAAGTAACATTGGATAGAACAGAAAACCTTTCCTATCATTGTACAATACAATTACATTTAAATGCCATTCCTATTGTACTTGTATTGCACTTGGTCTGTCCAGCCAAAATCTTCCCATGAAGTTCCTTCCTCCCCCTCCCCAAAGCTCTATACTTACAAAACTCTCACCAACCGCCGAGGCCCACCGATAAGTTTACATCCTTCAGGCCAGCTTCTTCACCCAATTTCCACACATGGACCTATAGCAGGGGTAGCAAAAATTCAGCCCTCCAGCTGTGCTGAAACTACAAATCCCATCAGCTTGGGAGGGGGGTGGAGGCAGACAGGTAAGGCCCCGTTCACACTGAGCGATTTATCGCGCGGTAATTCCCGCGATATTGCGGCTATTTACCGCGCGATATCGCTCTCCAATGCATGGCAATGGGGCAAAGGGTCCTGCTGTCGCGGGTCGCTACAGCAGAACCCTTTTTGGAGCGGATTTTGCCGCGATTCTATGCTTTTCAATGCAAGCATTTGCGCGATATCGCGCGACAAATCGCGTGATATCGCACAAAATGCAAATCACGTGACAAACGCGCGATTTGCGAATCGCGCAGTGTGAATGGGGCCTAATGGATGGTGGTGATGTTGGCTTTCTCATGCTACATGCTAGATCCTCAAATCATCTCTGAATCGGTGCTGACACTGTCCTTCCTTCTGGAGGGGGGCTACTTTTGTTCCCCTGGTCCCTGTGTGTGTGTTGTAAAGTAGACACCGCTCCAAGCTCACTCCTGGGATAGACTACAACCTCAATACAAATTAGTAAACTAAACATGAGGTTGTAGTCCATCATGGGGGGGAGCTTGGAGCGATGACTACTTTACAACACACACAGGGATCATGGCGAACAAAAGTAGGCACCCTCCAGAAGGAAGGACAGTGTCAGCACCAATTCAGAGATGTTTTGAGGATCTACAGTCAACATGGCAACATGTCATAGTCCAGTTTTCATTTTTCAAGCGTGTTTAACAATGGAAGCTGACTGATGGTTATGGGCACTTCCTTCTCAGTCTCTCTTGTCTGCTTTGTACAGTTCTACTACCAGATAAGTGAACAAAATGAGCCCGGGGTAGACAACAGGTACATTTACTGTAATGCTCCTATGATTTAATAAAAAGCTTGAATTTTAGCCAGACACGGGCTTAACAGTCAGAAAAACAATTTGTTTTATATTGTCCATTATAGAAGAAATTGAGGATCCCTTTTAGAAAACTTTACGGTTGCTGTAAAAGGTAATGGATTAAAGAAGGACTCCGGGAAAATCACAAACTTCCCCTTGCAGTGGGGTTATCCTTTGTACTGGGCTAAGTGCTCATTCTGTCCAGGGGACTCAAATAAAGCTGTATTACTCACCTGATCCTCAATCCCACCAGCTCTCTGCGGGCTGCTAGACCGGTCCCTGCAGCCTCTTCGCCTCTGGACTTTGACATCATCACATTTTATGCAGGTCCATTAAAGCAGAACTTCGAGCACTAATGTTATTAACCCTTGGGGCAACCCCTGCACTGCAAGGGTTAAATGCTCGTTTCTGCCTAGGTCAGGTGTAGGCTACCTTGGCTCTCCAGCTGTGCTGAAACTACAAATCCCATCATGCTTCTGCCTCTGGGAGTCATGCCTGTGGCTTGCAATGCCTTATGGGATTTGTAGTTTCAGCAGAGCTGGAGAGCCGAGGTTGCCTACCCCTGGTCTAGGTTAAATGCTCACTTGATCCTCAGAGCCAGCCAGCTCCTAGATCGGTCCCTTCCACCTCGCTCCCCCTCCGCTGCAGCAGTCTAAGGTCCCCCGAGTCATCACATTCTATACACAGTGTATACAAAATTAAGATGCTGAGGGATACACCATCGCTGCAGTGTAGGAAGAGAGAAGCAAGAGGCAGTGTTGTGACAGCCGTCCAGTTTCATGGATCGGGTGAGTATAACTTTTGAACTTAGGAAAAAAAAGAGCAGTTAACCTTTGCAGTGGAGGGTTGCCTCACTGCAAGGGTTAATAAAATTTGTGGCCAGCGTTCTGCTTTAACCTGCATTACACGTGAGGACAATGAGGCACATTCCAAAATCTGAGAGAGGTGAGCGCTGACTGCTATGGGGCTGAGGATCAGATGAGTAGCACAGCTTTGTTTGAGCCCCCTAGACAAAACGAGCACTTAACCCTTGCAATGCAGGGGCAGCCTCACTGCAAGGGTTCGTTTGTGATAACCCCAGAGATCTTCTTTCAGTAATAATTAGAAATACAAGTTGATACTAAAGTTTTAGTCTCTGTGAGGCTTCATTTAAAAAAAAAAAAAAAAGAAATTGGTTTTCTTGAAATATCTCTAGACTAAAGCCATGTTTTCCCTCTTTTCTTGGCCGGACAAGTCTATGTATTGGTTATTCATATCAATAGAAAAGGTTTCGGTGGTATGTGATTCGATTTTACATGTAACTTGTAATGTGCAGGTATGGGGTATATATGCAACATACGGAGATGATCACAGTATAATGACCTCAGCATCCCCTGTATTGTTCTTTAGCGGTGCCCATAGACATTGGGTGCCAGTCTCCCAATACTGACGTTTGGATTGGGTAACAATCTAATGTCTGGCATTCTCCAGTGATCCTATTCTTGGCTGACCAATCAGCAAGTTTGGACAACCCTGACCAATCTGGCACTGGGACCCGTCACTTCTAGCCCCTCTCACCTTTGCAGGCTACAGATGAACAGTAGCATGACAAAAGGGGTCTCTGCTTAGGGCAGAAGCTAGCCAAGAGGACAGGGGTGCCTACATTTTTCTACTTTACAAATGACAAGCTCAATGAGATCTACCAACAAATGGCACCGCAACACACCTCCCGAACCAGAACACAGGGTGGGTGCATTGCGTGGTACAATGCTTTCATCCTATGGGAGTGTGCGATGAATGCACTGTACTAGTGTGAACGGACCCTTAGTCAGACCTAGTACTCTTATCAGAGGGATTATTACCTGTAATGTCCAAGCTGTGTCAGCATTGCTGGCTTTTTTTCTCTCGACAGGTCCTCTTTAGAGCTGCTGCGGACCCCCGGAGACTTAGCCCCTGACGCTGACAGAGCACTCGAGGCTGCAGAGATAAGCCGAGTCCCACCGGCTCAGTACAACTCCAGCCTCCTCCCATGACGATGATACACAGATCCGCCTCCTGCTTTACTATGCTGCTTATCCTAGCGCCGCCCTCCTCCTGCTTGACTGAGCCAACTTGCGATTGCGATTTACCAGCATTCGCTTTGCGATCGATTGGTAGACCGCGATTGACCTATGGGGCACCCCGGCTATAGGACATCGCGACATAGTCAGAGCATACACCCCGAAATGTTCCTCAACGTCTATGGCCAGCTTAATATTCCTCTCTTCATTGGAATGATTAACAACCACCCTGCTCCGAAAACAAAAATCTAAATAAAAACAAGACAAAAATGCAGATGATTTGACTGCCTTCCATTCCCATTGTGATTGGCTTTGAATCATTTGTAAAGGAAACTTTAATATTCATTCCATTTGATTTTATTGTAACTTTTTTTTTTTCAAGATGATTTTCCACTTGTTATTACAAATCTAAAAACAGACTGAAAAACAGATTATAAAATGTAATGCAAACGGATTAAACAGGCTGAGAACGGACGTCACTTTCTATAGACTACAATGCAAACAAAAATTTTAAAAAAAGGACCCGTCGCATCGAAAGTGCATTAGGCTACGGCTTGATTTTATAAATGCAAAGGAATGAAGCATGTTTATAACAATGTGCATGAGCACTTATTTGAATTAGTTGATAATCACTTACTGCCAATGATCAGCAGCCCGTTGTTAGCTCCCAGACTTTTCATTATAACTTCAGGAGTCATGGACAGCCCAGTCAGGGTAACAAGCACATGTGTGCTTCTGAGAGAACATTTATTGTTGATCAGCCAATCACAAAACTGACGCACACATCTGACTAATCCAATCCCACAGGGCTGCCACTTTCCCGTCATATGAGGAACAACTACATCAGGATGTGCAAACAAGCTTAACAGAAAATATTCGCTTCTTCTCCTATCCCTATCGGAATTACCTCCGGATGAGAGCCAATAACTAAACTCAGTTGAAGGCTCGAACGGCTGCATATCGCTGTTTTGCAAGTGACATAATGCCTCTGCGGAAACAATAAAATGTTAGTCACGGGGAAGCAATGGACAATCCTTTCCATTTTGTACTTTATAAATAATGAGTATCTGGGACTGGGATGCGGGATGGTTAAATAATGCTTTCCAAGAGCCGGCCTGGTAAGTAACCACTTACAGTCTATCATCTACTGTGCCTCATAAAACCACAAGAAAATATACATTTTGGAAGGCGTAAAAAAAAAAAAAGAAGAATATATACACCACAGGTATATAAATATCACCCATATATTAGGTGAGGGCGTAAAACAAAACACACACATTTGTTTACCAATCACACCAAAATATTGCAACCCAAACGAACGGCAGACGAACGGGCCTGTCTCAGCCTAAATACATTCTCCCTTATCAACAGCATGCCTGTCAGCCATACCCTGTGGAGGCAGCCATGTTAGGGGCTGGACTGATACTTCAGTAAATGCAGCATATCAAATTGCAAGGAACACCACTGAGGTACAAGATACAGAGATGCCATCGGTTCACAGGGAAACGGATGATTGTTTTAAATAAAAAAACAAAAATGGCTGCCGGCACTCTGTATGGACGATAGGGCTACTTTAAGATGTCGGACCCGTCAACATCCGAGCGAGGCGGCTTAACTCTTCTCACAGCCTTTGTCCTACCTTGCCCCAATTCCTAGTCTCTTCCTTTTCCCTAAGCATCCGTTAGGAAAAATGTGTCTCAGGATTTGATTGGAAATAAAAAGCTTACAATTGTAAGCAAATTGCAGGATGACCTTGTCGCTTTCAGAAACAGGCCTGGCTTTTCTGAAGAAGGTATAAAAAAAAATTACGAGTTTCCTTTTATAGACTAGAGGGTGTATCCGGACAAGCGGAAGGGAGAAAAGCCATACTAAATGAGGAAAGCATTATGGGAATTGTGAACGATCCCAAAAAACGAACATTATATAACTAACAGAGGGCAGGGGAAGCCAAATGTGAAATCAGCGCTGATGACCTGCCTGCGAGGGAAGATGAACAAACTGCCGGTCTGCATATTTACAGCAATTTGGCTGAAATGTCCTCTTCCTGATTTAGGCAGTAGGTGCTCTCTCTCTCCGAATATATGGAGATAGACTAATGGATAATATCCTGGCTCTCTTCCTTAGAGCCCCATTAGGGCGTGTAGGCTGGTGGAGGCTGGAAAGGATTCATGACATCATACTCTGCAGGGTAAGAGTCAGTTTCCATCTCCGACAGCAGCTCCAGAGCCTGCTCTTCCTCTTCTGTAGGGTAGTGGCGCAGCAGGTTTGCCGCAGTGGCCAAGATGGATGCTCCTCCGGCTCCAGCCACCAGGTAGAAACTAACGGCAAAAGTGACGTAGACTTGGGAGCCGTGGTACTGCTTGTGCTGCTGCTGAAGGGCGAGTATAAGTTCCGAGGCCCAGTAGCAGAAGCCAATCACTGTAGCACATTGTAAAACTGTGAAAGGAAAAAAGAGACAAGAAAAACATCATCTCTGCACTTTTTACATTACATTTCTAGGACTTGTCAATTCACAAAGACTGTTATAGCTGGCCATACAAAGACCGGACTTCGGCCATTTCCAGTCAGCCAAATTAAATTCCTGGGTGGCCTTTCTGGCACCTCCTGGATTTACTTTTGTCAAAGGAGCTGGATGGAAAATTGTCAACCAAACAGTGGCTGCGGCCAATCTTTAGAACAGTCTTTCTCAACCAGGGTGCCTTGCAATTTTTGCATAGCATCATTTCTTTCCATGGTGCAGGCAGGCTTCTAATGTGAAAGCAGAGGGCTCCTCATGTAAAGTGGGGAACCCCATTTTTAGTATTTTTGTATGAGATCCCCCCTTGAAATCCATACCAGATATATATATATATATATATATATATGGTCTGGTATGGATTTTGGAGGGGACACATAATTTTTTAAATTTTTATATTTGCGAGGGGACACATCGTTTTTGACATGCTTTATATTTAAGTTTTTTAAATTTTGGACCAGGGTGCTTTGAGATTTTGCATAATTTTAAAGGGTAGTGTGAGAAAGGTTGAGAAAAACTGAGCTAGAAAAAAAACTGTTGGCCGGATGGAAAATTATTGGTCAAATATTGCCTTTAGCCAATGAGCTGCAGTGACTGTTAGAATACAATAGCTGGCAGGGAAGATTTCTCCATCCACGTTCTTTAGCATTAATGGGCGAATCAAAAGATTTCTCTTGTTCAGCATGCGGGGCTGAATGGGAAAAATCTTAAGGGCTAGTTCACAGCATCCTCAGCGCATTCAGGCCCAATTGCGGCACATCAGTGCCTGCGTTCCAGTCCAGTGCAGTCAGAAAAAGACTACACCAGAAAAACTACTTTTTCTGACTACACCAGACTGGAACGCAGGCACTGATGTGCCACCCGTTCCCGTGCAGCAGATCGCATTGCGGCCAGGGGGCGTGGCTGCGGTGCCTTTGAGTTCAATGCACCGTCCCGCCCCAAAACAAAGTGGGTCGGCCGTAATCCGATACAGTGCGTTCCGGCCACAATCGGGCTGGAACGCACTGAGCCTCTGAGTGCTTAGTCTCCCTTTTCCCTTAGGGCTCATTCAGACAGGTGTACATGTCCATAAAAAGACCTGATCCCAGAAGGGACATATGCTGCGTGCAGACGGCGTGCGTCCAAGTGTGGACAACTGGACCCGCATGAATGTGCAGGTTCGGGTGTGCATGTGACAGCTCATAATTGCGTGCAATTTCCCATAGGGAAGAACAGGCTGCTGTTCACAATTACACGGAGCTCCTGTCCCTTCTGGGATTGGGTCTTTACGGGCGTGCACACCGTATGGACGTTTACACCCATCTGAATGAGCCTTTCAAGTAGCCAGGCAGGACAAAGCACTTTGGTGGCCCCCCAGCAACTTATAATTACCCTCTGTTACCTTACCTGTCACTTTGGCTGCTGCTGCTCCTGAAAGTTTCAAGTCGGGACTTTCATAGAGCTATATGACTGAGCAGCCAATCACTAAGTACACTATCCCTGTTATTTTTCTAATAGAAAAGGAAGTGAAAAGAAGAGGTGATCAGCTGATATCTGTCACACCATTTGTCCTATGCTCCATTCAATATAACCACCCCACACAAAAACACTGAGATTTTGTTAACATTTTTGTTAGAAAACTTTGAAGACATTCTATGGAAAACCTCTTTATTGAGTATCTGTAAAAAATAAGTCAAGGCAACCGGACTTGCTGTATTTTTCTTGAAGATGTTTCACTGGATATCCGACCATCTTTCTCAATTCAGAATTACTTGTACAAAAAACTCTTTATTGAGTGGCTGCATTGACTCTAAAATCACTCGTTAAATCTTAAAAATACATTCAAGTACCATAACTATGACCAAAAATGTATCTTATTTGTGTATCATTCAGCCGTAGATCCTCCAATCATCTCTAAATTGGTGCTAACACTCTCCTTCCTTCTGGAGGGGGGCTACTTTTGTTCCCCATGGTCCCTATGTATGTTGTAAAGTAGTCACCGCTCCTGACAAAAATGGGAAATTTCTGGCAATGCTGGTAGCAGAACAAAGGTCCCTGACTGTGATCCCCTGTATCTGCACCTCAGATGGTTAATTGAAAACTGATCCGGGTGATATCCTCCAGGAGTTTGTCACCTTCTACGAGAATCTATACAAACAGCTGCCCGAGTATGACGTCGCTCTCCTGGGCACGCTTTTAGACTCGGTAGACATACCACAGCTGACCCAGCCTGACCGAGAGTTTATGGAGTGTGCCTTCACGGAGCACGAGGTCTTGGGGGCTATAGGTTCCTTCCCTAACAACCAATCCCCGGGCCCAGATGGGTTTCCGGCGGAATGGTATAAACGGCACACTAACGATATAGTCCCCAGACTAATGAGCTTATACGAGGCATGTTTGAATGCAGAGGTCCTCCCCCAATCCATGTATGAAGCGCACCTAGTTCTTCTGGCCAAACCCAATAAAGACCCGCTTTTATGCTCATCCTATAGACCAATTTCGCTCCTTAACATGGATCTTAAGATTCTTACAAAAATTCTTGCCACAAGACTGTCCAGGGTTATTGCCAGTGCTGTCGCCCCGGACCAAACCGGATTTATTCCCCAAAAAGTCTACAGACATTAATCTTAGAAGATTATACACGCACACCCAAATTATACATGATAACGCGGATGCCAGAGCTATCGTCTCCCTGGACCTTGAGAAGGCCTTCGATTCGGTGGATTGGCGGTATTTACAAGCGGTTCTGTTGAAATTGTGATTTGGCCCTGTCTTCCACAAGTGGATCGCAGTATTGTATAGCCAGCCTAGAGCCGCCATTAAGATGGGGGGGAATCCTATCCCCAAGCTTTCCGATCCTTAGGGGCACGCGGCAGGGATGCCTGTTATCCCCCGGACTGTTTGCCTTGGCGATAGAACCTACTGCATCTGCCATCCGGCAGTCCGCGGGGATCCGGGGTCTTAGAGTGGGCGGGCTGGAGGAAAAAGTGGCTTTACATGCCGATGATATGCTTTTGTTTCTAGCTGACATGCAACAATCACTAGTAGAGTCCCTTGGTATTTTGCCGAGATTCGCTACTTGCTCGGGGCTGTCTGTTAATTGGTCAAAGTCTCAGTACCTTACCTTAGACCCATTGGATCACGCCTCGATAGTATCTACTACTACCCAGCTGCAATAGGCAGCCAGGATTAAGTATTTGGGTCTGACTATCTCCAACTCTGTGTCTGATTTTGTGGCGCTTAATGTCTCCCCAGTGATAGCCCAGTTTAAAGGACCGGCTCTCAGTCTGGAAAAATCTGCCACTAACTCTGATTGGCCGTGTTAACCTGGTTAAAATGAAACTGCTGCCACTGCTCCTATATACTTAGCGTAACTCCCTGGTGTGGATACCGAAACGGATTTTTAGAACCATTGATGCTTTAGTGTCAGAGTTCCTCTGGAGTGTGAGGGCACGTAGGATTAAATAGTCAATCCTTCAACTACCGTGGGGGGAGGGTGGGCTGGCGGCCCTTAACTTCTACTTCTACTATTATTTCCTAGCAGGTCAGCTAACGGTTGCTCACAGATGGCTCACGGTGCGGGAAGGGAACCCCGCGGTCACTCTGGAGGCTGCCTTGGTGGGATCATTTGAAGCCCTGGGACATCTGGTATATAGTGGCAGACACTCCCCGCACTGTCAGACACCCTCCATGAGAGCGGTCATAACGGCTTGGAATGCAATGGAGGGCCGGGTAGTGGAGCCTAGGACATCCCTCTCTCCACACACACCATTGTGGAGAAACCCTCGCCTTAATCACTTCTCGACCATTCTAGACCCTGTGGTGTGGACCTCTAAGAAGATCCTTACTGTAAGCGATGTTGTCCACGGGGGAGAGTTACGCTCATTTGAGAACCTCTGGTCCACTCACTCACTGACAAATAGCCACTTTTTCCAGGTACCTCCAGTTACGGCATGCCTTCCATGTACAGTTCCCTGGGGGCAGGCTGACCCTCTCCATCTCTAGGATGGAATCCTTGCTACGCACTGAGGGGCTAGATAAATCCTTATCGGATTTACAAGACACTGCCATTTACAAGACACTGCCATGCAAGGGGAAGGAGGCCTTGGAAAGCTGTTACAGGGCTTGGAGGCTAGACTGCCCTGACTGGAACCAGGGGGACGAGGAGGAGATCTGGGGTAGCCCGATGACCACCCTGATATCCGCAAGAAACAGGTTGATACAATACAAAATAGTCCACAGGGCATACTATACACCAGCCAGGCTAGCTAGGATGCGGGCATCGGCCACTGCTAAGTGCTGGCGGTGTCCACACGAACCGGCAGACCGCACCAATGTTCTATGGAGCTGCTCGGCGATTCAAAGCTATTGGCAGGGAGTAACTGAACTGGTGACAACCATCCTAAATACCCCAATCCCAAATACAAGCAGAGTGTGTATACTGGGCCTGATAGACGACATAGTGCTTTCAGTGGCATTGCGCACTCTGCTGATCTATCTGTTATTCTATGCCAGAAAACATATAGTCCTCAACTGGAGGAAGGCGGAATCTCCTTCCCTGGGAGCATGGAAGGCTTTGGTCAACGCCTCCCCCCCGTTATACAAAGCGGCGTATGCCTGCAGGGGCTGCCCTCAGGGTGGCTTGAATCCAATACTATGCTAGGGGTGTGACCACCTACGCTAGGGACAGCTAGCTGATAGGGTGCTGCCTGTAGGGATCCTATATTACACGGGTGTGAAACCCCAGCAAGGGCGGGAGAGAGTATAGCGTTCGCCCCGAATCTGTTTTTCATCACAGTCCCAGGAGCATGAGATGGGAAATTGACACATTTTGATTATGGGCTCCCTGAATGTAAGACTTCTAGTTTGTTGGGAGTGGATGGGGGGTGGGGGTGCACGGAGGGGAATCCAAGGGGGGGGGACAACGACGACTGATTGGAGCTATTGTTTATGGTGTTTTAAGTAGGTATGGGCATGTGTTATGCCACAATTGTATAAATAAGTGTAGATGTATAGGCACCATGTTGGTGTCATGTTGTATGATTAAACTTGCAAAATGAATAAAAAGATTTAAAAAAAAAAAAGGAGTCACCGCTCCAAGCTCGCTCCTGTGATGGACTACAATCTCAATACAAATTAGTAAACTAAACACGAGACTGTAGGCCATCACGGGAGTGAGCTTGGAGTGGTGACTACTTTACAACATACACAGGGACCATGGGGAACAAAAGCAGCCCTCCTCCAGAAGGAAGGACAGTGTCCGCACCAATTCAGAGATGATTGGAGGATCTACAGCTGAGTGATACACAAATAAGATACATTTTTGTTAATAGTTAAGGTACCTGAATGTATTTTTAAAATTTAACTTCTGAGTTTAAAAAGGAGCTTTACCCGTATCTTTAAAATAACAATCACACCTTTACAAATGTTTAGTAATGACAATCTACAAAACACACATGTCTAGATAGATTGCCGGCTTTGTATTCTTTGCATTCCTTATTTTTCCTTTCCTCCCTAGTCTTCCGACAGTAGCCATGTTTACTAAGGGCAGGTTACTAGATCTCCCTTTACTTCCTGGAACTCTGGCACATGTGACTAGGACATGTGACCATGCACATCATCTCAGGGGAGAAAATGGCTTTCCCTGAGATCTCGTGAGATTATAGATGAGATTTCCTAGCAATGCTCTGCTGATGTAACCTTCCCAGGATGCAACACTTGGGCATGATTACATAATTTGCGCCAGAAGTGGACTAGGAAGTAGATGAACTCTATTTGTTAAAGCATAGCTGGAAGGCTAGAGTTGCTGTACAAGAGGGACGGGTGAAAAACTGTTATTGCAATTTAAAATGGAATGATCTTACCTGTAAGAATGTGAGCGAAGGCATAGCGACGTGTGATTTTCAGAGCTGGGTGTTTGGGCCCAAAAACATCAAGCAAGAAGGCCGTCATACTGCAGGCGATGCCCAGGAAGCAGAAGCCGGCAATGACACGGAGGAGAAGTATAGTCTGACGGTTCATACAAAACTCTGCAAGTACATGAAATAAATACCTTCATTTACAAAACTTTCCCTTACTTACAGTATACATGAAAACATTCCCATGCAGCACACACAAAAAAGTTAAAGGGACTCTGTCGCTAGAGCAGAGGCGTCCTGAGGCGGGGTGATACCCGATGCAGGTACCGGGTGACACCCCGCACACGCATGATGATGTCACGTACTGTACCGCTGTTATCTGCCAGCAGCCATCTTGGTGATGGATGCCGGCAGAGAGAGGACGTTCACCCAGCGGGATGAGGTATGCTGCCGGGTCCCCTAATCTCCCGAGCAACTGACGGGCTCTCAGTCCATGACCGAGTGCCCGACTTTTCAGAGGGGGTGACACCAAAATGACTGTCAGTCATTTTGGTGTCACCCCGGTGACGCCACTGCGCTAGAGTAAATGAATTGAAGCGGAATTGAACCCACTCCAACCCCACAGAACACAAAACATAATTTACAAAGATAACTGCTTGCTAACTAAACACTCAGTGAGGTGAGGGAGCAGGTGATATCTGTGGCAGTTGTCAGTGGCAACCAATCACCTTTTCTTTTCATTTTGTTAAGTTAAGCTTTGATAATGAAAGAGAGATGCAGAAGAACATCAGTGTTCACCTACAACAACAACAAAAATGGAGAAAAAAAATGACAACTATGTGTTAGCCAATTAAATTTCACTCAGTTAAAGCCGAACCCCAGGCAC